TCATTGTTATATCTATAACTTATCTCCTCTCGAATACTCAATCGAGGAGTATATCCAATTCATCGAGGATAGTTATTAACAACGACCGTTCATTAATAACCCTTACTATTAGTCGAGTATAGAACAACGCCATATACCGACTTGATAGTAGCATTTAATCGCTTAACTCCTTGATGAAATCAATTGAGATCGATAACCTCAACACAACGGTTTCGGTTTAACCAACACAATTAATCCCTCTTAAGTCTATTAACCACGACCGTGCATTAATAAACCGAAGTTACTTACTTGTGAAACTATCAACGATTAACCATCGGTTCGTTGATCATTTCTAGTAGTAATTTATATTTGAAACAAAACTAGTTGATCCTTTAAGTAATGTTCAAAATATTAATATGAAATATGAATAGGAATTAATTAATACTCAAGGAAGAATATTAAAAGGGAATGAATCCTACTATAGCTAAATATCAAGATGTTAACTAATTGTCATCTTAGTAACACTCCCCGATATTAACATAGAGGAAGGAATAGCTATTACTAAAACCAATGTCAAGATGTTAACTAATTGTCATCTTAGTAACACTCCCCAACATTGATATAGAAATAGTATTTAAAGGAAGAATTAATATTCAAGGAAAAGAAGTTAAGAAAATAACTCACAACTTTAATAATCAACAAGCTTCAAGAGCAATACCAAGAAATGGAAGTTTAGCTCCTCATTTGGAGACTAAACATGCTATAAAAATATAAAAGAAATATTATTCTAAACTGAGCTTAAGAGTATGGAAGAAATTTGTGTCTTAAAGTGAAGGAAAGGAGGTGTATTTATAGGCTTTTTGAGGTGCAGGCTCGGGTACTCGATCGAGTATATACAGATACTCGATCGAGTATGTGTAGAAATACCAGATTCGAGGTATACTCGATCGAGTATATGTTCATACTCGGTCGAGTATGTGCAGAAAGTGATATTCGAGCCATACTCGACCGATTTCGGATTTAAACTCAAAGGCATACTCGATCGGGTATGTCGGTCTACCCGATCGAGTATAGACACTAAATCGTGGCCAAAATCTTCCCGGCATGTTCCTTTGTCTTCGGATCCGATCCGATTTGAAGTTTCAACCTTATACTCGATCGAGTATAGGTAATACTCGACCGAGTATAGACCAAAATCAGGATTTTCCCTTTTGTCTTGTGATTTTGCACCTTCCTTCCACTTTTGGGGTTCACCAACTGTCCTTTGAGTGATGGTAGACCTGTTTGAGCTCAGAATGACCCTAATCTAAACAAATTACAAGAATTCAACAAACTAAACTATTACACCAAAAGTGTGTAATTTCCGAAATACTAAACAACCAAAACTAGCTAAAAACGTAAACATACACACGGAAATTACAAGTGTATCAACTCCCCCACACTTAGTTCTTTACTCGACCTCGAGTAAAACAGAAACATCCAAACGGTTTAAGAGTTTTCCAAAAGTTCAAGAAAGAAGGAAACTAAGACCACCAAGGGGAAAAATGAGTTTTTACAACAACATTCTTTCTTGGGTTTAATGATCTTCTATGCTCCATCTTCTTGCCTTTTTTTTTCTTTTTCTTCTCTTCTTTTTTTTTTCTCCAAAGAGATTAAATGAGTGCATGCAAAAATAAATATTTCTCTCATATCTCTCATTTTGCCTAGGAGCCTTTTCAGGTTTTCATCCTAGCATCTCTTTTCATTTTCCATTCTCCCAACTCACTCATCATTTTTCACAAGCCTTTTTTTGCTTAGATTGCCCATTTTGTTGGGTTTTCAACCTAACTAGCATTTCTTTTCTTCATTTTTTTTTTGTTTTTTTTTTGTTTTTTTTTTAAAGAAGTTCATGCGTAGTAAAAGGTAAAAAATAAGATTACATACCCATGATGAGTCTCCTCCCCACACTTAGTTCAAGCACTGTCCCTAGTGCCCAATTTCGGCTTTTGTTGTTTGTGGAGTAGGGTGATTTTGATTTTTGGTGGGTTGTGGGTGTTTTGGTGGGGAAATGATGGAGATATGGTAGAGAGAAGGTAGGAAAATGGAGTTTTGGGGAGAAGGGGTCGAGGTTGGTATGGGTGTTTGGAGAAGATGAAGTGTTTTGGGGTGTGTTTTGGGGTTAAATCGCAGGTATATCCGATCGGGTGCCTCTCTATACCCGATCGGGTACTGGAGACAGGGGGTGCGAATATGGCTTTTCCAGTGATACTCGACCGAGTATTGATAGATACTCGATAGGGTATAGGAGACAGGCTGCTCGTGGTTTTGATTTTCCAGACATACTCGACCGAGTATTGACTTATACTCGATCGGGTATGTCTCCAAATACACCTTTTTTTTTCTCCTTTTTTTTTTACACACGCACACAAACTGAAATAAACATGAAAAGAAAACATACCTTGCTTGGGTTGCCTCCCAAGAAGCGCCTAATTTAACGTCGCGGCACGACGCCATCATTGTGTTCAATCGTTCAAGCTTGGATCATGATAATTAATTTTCTTCAAATTTTCACTCCTAGGACCTCCATAGGAGTGCTCAATTTCTCGACTCTCCACTTTGGAAATCTTTCCAGGATCAAATATCCAGATTTTCATTGATTTATGTGGTGGGAGGAAGGGGAAGAAATTATCATGTAGTATGGTCAATGAAAAGTTTTTCGATCCCTCAATTTTGAAGGAGATTTCAGAAATGTCATTTTCCATTTCAAGTTTACGAGATTCTCTTAAAGCTTCCAGAGATGATGGAGATACCTCAAAGGATGACAATGACAAAAATTTGAATTTGAAGCTCAGCTTATCCTCTTCTTTGACCAGTTGGAGCTCCGTGTCTTTTTCTTCTTCTACTTCTTCTGGATTCTGGATCTCCTTTTGTATCTCCTTTTCATTTGTCAATGTGATTGCAAAAGTTTGCTGTTTAGGATCACATTCTATTTGAGAAGGAAGTTTTTCTGAATCCCTTGCTTCAAGCCTACTCACGGCTCCGGCTATTTGACTCATTTGAGTTTCCAAGTTTAAAATGCTAGACTTGGTCTCATTTTGGAATTGTACCATGTTGTTTTGCATGGTGGTCATGTTGGTAGCAATAGCCCGGACCATATCCTCCGTAGACATGTTAGAGTTGGAGAACGGATCATACCTCATGTGAGGTTCATCCCTTTTGTAACCAACATCATCACTTTTAAGGTATTCATCTTGGAGCTTTGGGCAGAAATCCGTAAGATGTCTGTGAGACATGCAAATGTTGCATGTGTTGGCATCTTGAGCTTTTGGGCTTAAGATAAATTCCTTTATTAGAGAAGTCAAGTCGGAAATTTGACTCTCTAGGGATGATAGTTTGGTATCCATATACTCATGAAAGCCCAGAAATAGAAGAGTAAGATTTTATTTTTATTTTTATTTTTTCTAAATTTTTGTTGTTTTTATTTTTTATTTTATGAGATAAAATAAAAAGAAAAATAATTGCCTTTCCCCGGCAACGGCGCCAAATTTGACGTGCACTTGTCGTGAGTGCACTCAAAGTAATATTCAATACAACACTTATACGTAGTATAGCGTAGTAGAGTTCGTATCCACAGGGAAAGGAATAACTTTCTTTTTATATAAATAGTAAGTAAAAGGGGGGTTTTGATTGAGTGATTTAATTAAATTTAAACACGAAGATGAACGAGTTATATGGGATTTAATTCAAAGATAAAAGTGACTTGGCATTGCTACTTTCCACTTGTTGATATATTTTAGTCGATCATTGTTATATCTATAACTTATCTCCTCTCGAATACTCAATCGAGGAGTATATCCAATTCATCGAGGATAGTTATTAACAACGACCGTTCATTAATAACCCTTACTATTAGTCGAGTATAGAACAACGCCATATACCGACTTGATAGTAGCATTTAATCGCTTAACTCCTTGATGAAATCAATTGAGATCGATAACCTCAACACAACGGTTTCGGTTTAACCAACACAATTAATCCCTCTTAAGTCTATTAACCACGACCGTGCATTAATAAACCGAAGTTACTTACTTGTGAAACTATCAACGATTAACCATCGGTTCGTTGATCATTTCTAGTAGTAATTTATATTTGAAACAAAACTAGTTGATCCTTTAAGTAATGTTCAAAATATTAATATGAAATATGAATAGGAATTAATTAATACTCAAGGAAGAATATTAAAAGGGAATGAATCCTACTATAGCTAAATATCAAGATGTTAACTAATTGTCATCTTAGTAACACTCCCCGATATTAACATAGAGGAAGGAATAGCTATTACTAAAACCAATGTCAAGATGTTAACTAATTGTCATCTTAGTAACACTCCCCAACATTGATATAGAAATAGTATTTAAAGGAAGAATTAATATTCAAGGAAAAGAAGTTAAGAAAATAACTCACAACTTTAATAATCAACAAGCTTCAAGAGCAATACCAAGAAATGGAAGTTTAGCTCCTCATTTGGAGACTAAACATGCTATAAAAATATAAAAGAAATATTATTCTAAACTGAGCTTAAGAGTATGGAAGAAATTTGTGTCTTAAAGTGAAGGAAAGGAGGTGTATTTATAGGCTTTTTGAGGTGCAGGCTCGGGTACTCGATCGAGTATATACAGATACTCGATCGAGTATGTGTAGAAATACCAGATTCGAGGTATACTCGATCGAGTATATGTTCATACTCGGTCGAGTATGTGCAGAAAGTGATATTCGAGCCATACTCGACCGATTTCGGATTTAAACTCAAAGGCATACTCGATCGGGTATGTCGGTCTACCCGATCGAGTATAGACACTAAATCGTGGCCAAAATCTTCCCGGCATGTTCCTTTGTCTTCGGATCCGATCCGATTTGAAGTTTCAACCTTATACTCGATCGAGTATAGGTAATACTCGACCGAGTATAGACCAAAATCAGGATTTTCCCTTTTGTCTTGTGATTTTGCACCTTCCTTCCACTTTTGGGGTTCACCAACTGTCCTTTGAGTGATGGTAGACCTGTTTGAGCTCAGAATGACCCTAATCTAAACAAATTACAAGAATTCAACAAACTAAACTATTACACCAAAAGTGTGTAATTTCCGAAATACTAAACAACCAAAACTAGCTAAAAACGTAAACATACACACGGAAATTACAAGTGTATCAGTGTGGATACCAATAGGGCTTGAGCCATCGGCACAAGTGGTTCTTTGAATTCCCCGGCAAACGCCTCACTCACGAATGATCGTTGCGCCCCAGTGTCAATAAGGATTCTTGCGTCTCTCCCGTTAATCTTTAGTGTTCCTACATTCATAAGCAATGTAAGACACACTCCCTACCTATTAGACTCATTTCTTAGGTTATAGAGTACCCCGGCTATGGTTTGGATGATCGTCATCTAACGCCCCATCCCGATTCCATCCCGGTTCCCACCTAAAAATCAACACCGTGCACCAATAAGGGAAAGCCGGCCGCTTTTCATGAAAGCCGGCCGGTTTTCGCACCTCGGCCTTCGGCTCGGAAGGAACGGTTACGTAAGCCGGCCGGTTTGCGCCAAAGCCGGCCGGTTTTTCATCGCCGAACATTTAATTGATTTAATTCCCATGAAAGACGGCCGGTTTTCATGAACGTCGGGCGACGTTCGTCGCCGTAGAATTTCAATTTTTTTTTTTTATAAAAGCCGGCCGGTTCTTACGAATGCCGGCCGGTTTTCATTAGCAACGCCTCACACTGGAGACGCCTGAACACAAGCCGGCCGGTTTTTACAAAACTCGGCCGGTTTTTCTCTGCCGAAAGATTTTTGGAAAAAAACAAGTCCGAAAGCCGGGCGGCTTTCGTCAAAGTCGGGCGGCATCCGTCCCAGGTGGATATTCATCCACTTCTTCGAACTTGCACAACCCCGGTTGGCTATACAACGTGTACATTTCAACACTTATATTGTTTACAAAGGAATAACATCAAAAGTTCAAGAATTTACCCGCGACGGAGTCCGGGTTAGCACGTGCATCGGCTTCCGTAATCGCATAGACCCTCGCTTGGGTCCTCCCTTGATTAACGGACGGTGCATTGCTTGTGCTAGCTCCACCGTGCCCCGTGTTTGCATGAGGTGCCGCTGTCCGGTTCCTGCTCATCGTGGTCCCACCACTCGGCCCGGCACTCACGGCTCGCCCAAGTTGTGGGCAACTCGACCTCATGTGCTCCGTATCGCCACATTGATAGCACCTCGGGGGATCACGACACTTGCCCACGTGGTTCCTCTTGCAATTCTTGCATTTGGGCGCTGTTGAGGCTTGTGATCCCGAGTGTTGTCCACTCATTCCCGGGTTTCCTCTCGATGGCGGTGCAGGGGTCTTAAATGATCTCCCTCCCCCGTGGTTCCCCTTCTTATTGGAACCTTGGGGGCCTTGGTTCTCCCATTTTCTTTTCTTTGCCTCCTCGGCATTTCTTCGCTTTCTTTCTTCCCATTCTTTCTCCCCCTTCAAGCCCTGCTCAACAACTTGACTAAACGTCATATTAGGCAATTGTGTTGCCCTCTCACGTATGTCAAGGTCTAAGGCATCCCAGAAGTGGTTCACCATTCGGTTTTCATCGCATGCATATTCCGGTATGAACTCGGCAAGCTCCCGGAATTTGTGCTCAAGTTGCCTCACAGTATACTTGCCTCCTTGGGTCAAGTTGGTGTATTCTCTCCTTTTCAAGTTCACCTCGAAATCGGAGTAATATTGATTGAAGAATTCTTGGCGGAAGTTCTCCCAAGTGACTGTCTCACCATACTTCCCTTTAACACCGTCCCACCACGTGGACGCCATTCCCTCTAGCAACCTCGTTGCCACTCTCAACTTCATGATCGGCGGCAGCTCCATGTCAAGAGCCGCTTCGTTGAATCTCTTGATCCACTCTGCCGCAACGGAGATATCTCCCGTTCCATCGAACGGCTTACACCCCAAATCTCTCGCTTCTTTGAGGTACTTCGAGATCCTTATTATTGGGACCTCAGCACCCCGATCTACTCGGGACTCTACATGTCCTCTAGATCCCACATGGCTTCCTCTTCTTGAAGCCCCTTCCAAAGCACGCCTTGCCTGGCGCCTTTGACGATCTTGTTGATACTGTCGGAGTAGTCCCTCCATTCTTTCAAGCGCGTCATTATCATCGCTCTGTTCACTCACATCATCATATTCCCCATCATATGGGGTCTCAACCGGCTCTGTTCCCGGTTGATACGTTGAATCCTCCTCGGACTCATAAGACTCATTTACCATTTCAACATGACCGTCACTCACGGTCTGAGCTTGGCCTCCACGGCCTTGTCCCCTGGACACTCTAGAAGCCCCTCTACTGCCTTGCACGGACCCCCTCGGTGCCTGGCCAGTCGGGTTCCTTCTAGTTACTTTCCCGGTACGTTCCATTTCTGAAAGAAATTGAGAATGAGTCTTTAGACTCGTATGAAATGTCAATTGACGGATAAGTACTTAAGACATCCTTTGGCTCAAGTCGCCGCCATGCCAATTGTTAAGGGTACCATCTTAACAATTAGAGACATTGCAACTCAAGTACCAAAAGTTCTACAAGTACAAAACTTTATGCTCATGGTTTGCAAAATCATTTTCAAAAGGAATTTTGAAGCTTCATTATGAAGTTTACGGACTAAGGCTCTGATACCAATTAAATTGTCACGCCCCGGATCTATCCGGACACGTCAACAACCCGCCGTACAGTACGAATAGTCAACCGCAGTCCAACTCATCCATACTATACAAGGCGTCTTGAATACCATTCACACATAGTACATCCATAAACAAGCATAATGTAAAATATTCATTTAAGCAGCGGAAACATTTAATACAAGTGTTTATGCCACACTCGGCAAACATGGGCATACGAGCCCCCGAATGATTATTCAAAAATAATATCCATGAGCATTAATGTAATTGTTTTTAAAAAACAGAAACGGAGGAAGCACGAACCACGTCTTCCCTCCTGGATCCTCCCTCGACGCAACGAGTATTTGTAGCGAGCTCAACTCCTACCTGAAACTGTGAGGTGGCCTCCCCCGTGAAGGGGAGGTCAGTACTTGGAAGCATTTGACAAGTACAATGACAACTATACTAAGTATAATCAAAGTTTCAATTTCCAAGACCCTCACATAGGGTGATAATATAATATAGGTCATAACCCGTGGTTACCCTCTTTGAAAATATACTTACTTTATATATAAAGTCAAGTAGTCGGCCCGAAGACCCATGTTTTACTTTGAAAACGTTCATCCCTTTCCCCGTGACTTCAAGCCACGCCCATCTATATTAATTCACCATGCTAGAGGCTTCCTCTACTCATGTTTTGCCGTGCTAGAGGCTTACTCTAGTCACTAAATTCGGTGTTAGAGGCTTCCTCTAATCACCTTACATACTTTGTGCTGGAGGCTTCCTCCAGTCACATTACATTATGCTAGAGGCTTCCTCTAGTCATCCTACACTACGCTAGAGGCTTCCTCTAGTCGTCCTACACGAATGCTGGAGGCTTCCTCCAGTCATTCTTAATCGTGCTAGAGGCTTCCTCTAGTCACGATACTAACTCACTAGCAAATTCTATGCCTAGAGTTCCTCAATCTTGAGTAGCCAATGAGGCCTACTCCTAATGTAACTTAGTGGTTATCCATTTCCTACCTTAAGGCATCTCATAAGACTACTTAAGGTGCATCCTTCACAATCCAAGTCCTTAGGATTTGTTCTATCGCTTTTTATACAACATTCCCGATTAGTAAATTAAATACTAATCCATAAATCTTTAAACAGCCAAGCTCCTTAACTCATAGTTATAAGGCTCATTCCTATGGATTTTCTAATCCGTATACGATTTAATCTCAATATCAAAAATATCACTTTTATCCATTCATGATTTCTATACATGAAGTAAAAGTATATTTTATCACAAAAATTCATGGTTTATACAATCATTATACCTTCACATTCATTATGCATCATCATACACAATTTCTCATAAATTTGTATGTTATGCATCTTCTATTCACAAACAATGATATTTTCATCTAGGCATTATTAATCATTAATAATCCATGAAAATCACATTTAATTACTTTAGGTAATCTTATGAAATTAACCCAAAGATTATAAGCAATATAGTCAGCCATCCTCACCTTATGAAGTGCTGAAATAGTTGCCTTTGTTAAGCCTTTCGATCAATCCCCGTTCTAAACCGATTGGAAGTGGAAAATCTGACCAGCAGACGAAAGCCGGGCGGCTTTTGCCAAAGGTGGGCGGCTTTCGTGGTCTGCAGCTACGAACAGCTCCCTTAAAGTGGCGGTTTCCGGCGATTTTGACTCCTATCGATTCACCCACTCTTCTAAGTTAATTATCACCACTTTATAACATTATTCTACACTTTTAAATGTGTAGAACATCATGTTTAATCCACCATATGATTTCTTAAAAATCATACACTATAAAACTAGTTAAAGAACTAGATAAGTTCTTACCTTGTGTTCTTGCTAGTTTTTCCTAGAGTTTGCTATCTCCTTGCTTCTCCCTAGCCAAGAGCTTTGTGAGGTTTGGTTCTCCTTGGGTTCTTCTCCCTTGATGGCCGAATGATTGCAATGGGAAAGGGTGAGGCATCTCTTCCCAATCAATACTCAAAATAATTTGAGTATGGGGTCATGTGTGTAGGCTTTGTCTCTAGGAGACTTCCTCCATCATCCATCCGCATCAACCCTCATGTGTTGTCTAAATTTGACTTATTTAGACTCTCCAAAGTGTGTAGGAAATTCCCAAATGGGTGTAGGAAGTTTCCCCCAATTATTCCTGCTATTTTCGGTAGGTTGGGCCAAAATAGCACTCGGGTTGTCCAAATATTTTTATCAACTTTGGTTGGCATTTTATTGGGCTTCAATTATTATTACAATGACCCGACTAAATATTTGGTAGCCCATTCTCATTATTATGGGCCCGATAAATAATTTAATTAATCTCGCATTAATTAAATATACCCAATCTGCTACACGATTTTATTCGCCAGAAATTCAAATACGTATCAAATTTCAAATTCAAGTACATCCGGGTGCGGTGTCACAGTTTACTTATCATACTTTGATTTTGGACTCAAGCTCAGTGATTTGTGATTTAAGATGATCATTTTCAGAAAGGTTTTGATTAAGCACAATAGTCAATCTTTTGAAAATTTTCCGAGCTTTGGTTTTGGATAGAGAGTCAAACTTAGATAGAAAATTTTCAAAGTTTACCTCAAAGCTCTCTTGGTCGGATTCCTCGTCAGAATGAGCCATAAGACATAGACCCGCATGGTTGATGTTCTTATCATTTTCCTCTTCTTCATCATCAGAAGAATCTCCCCATGCTGCCATCATGGCCTTTTTGAGATCTCTCTTGAACCCTTTGTCTTCGCTGAACCTCCGGTTGGAACTGGACTTGTTCTTGTCGCAGTTCCGGTCATTTTTCTTTTGTGAACAGTCTTTAGCCCTGTGCTCAAAGGAACCACAAACAAAACAACCTTGGTTATTAAAGGATTGAGTATTCCTTTTACCTTGTTTGGTACGGTTGTTCTTGAACTTTCGATACATCCTCCCAAATTGTTTCGCAAACATGCTCATCTCCTCATCCGATTCACTTTCGGATTCTTCTTCTTCTTCTCGATCCTTTAGAGCTATTCCTCTTTCTCGTCTATCATTCTCGGCATCTTGTTCTTCTTGAAGACCCAGTTCATATGTCAAGAGTGATCCAGTCAAGTCTTCAAGTGTCATGGTGGATAGATCCTTTGCTTCTTCAATAGCCGTGGTCTTAGGCTTCCACACTTGGGGCAGGCTTCTCAAAATCTTTCTCACTTGATCTTCCACTGTAATTTCTCTTCCAAGGGCTGAAAGCTCATTGATAATGTTAGTAAAGCGTGTAATCATATCCTTAATTGACTCTTTTGGCTTCATTACGAATAATTCGTAATTACGCATGAATATGTCAATCTTAGATTTTTTTACACGTGAGGTTCCCTCATGAGTGACCTCGAGCAAATCCCACATTTGTTTTGCAGTCTTGCATCCTAGAACCCGATTGTGTTCGGCAGGACCAAGACCACAAATTAAATATTTAAGGGCTTGGGCATTATGCTCGAGTTTCTCATAATCTTCAGAAGTATATTCAACTTTAGGTTTAGGAACAACATTACCTTCGGCGTTTCTCTTTGTGATGGCATTATCACCACTTTCAATTACATTCCAAACCTGGTAGTTATCGGCCTTGATAAAGTTTTCCATCCGACTCTTCCAAAATTGATAGTATTTGCCATTGAACAATGGTGGTCGTTGAGTCGAGTACCCTTCTTCCAATCGGTCAACCGTATTCATTTTGCCGGATCTCTTCCCAAGGTATTAGCCTTTATGTGGTGAAGACCGGCTCTGATACCAATTGATGAAAACGGTTAGCAACACAAAAGGAGGGGGGGTGAATTGTGTGTGTGTGGAACCGTGGCAGTTTTTCGCCGAGTTCTAGTGTGGGATAAAGGGAATTGCGAAATAGTAAAGTGCACAAGAATTTAACGAGGAAAAATCCCTTGGCTCAAAGGGATTAAAAAACCTCGACCTCCCTTGGAGGAATTTTAACAACTTCACTAAAAAGCCTTTGAATGATTACAAGGGAAACTCTCCTAGTCTACCCTTGAGCCACCCCAACTCTATCCTCTCTAGGAAGAGTTACGCTTCTCTACCTTGCGGGTAGAGAGCCTCTCAGCTTTACAACAAAGCTCTCACAACACAAACCAACCCGAGGAGGCTACTCTTAGCCAATCCTCAAAACCCTATTACAATATGAAGAAGGGAAAGAAGAAACTATATCTAGAACTCCGAGTGAGCAGTTTCAGATGCCTTGAACTTCGTATTTTTCTCGAGCCTGTCTCTTGATATTTCTCTGGTTAAGCACCCCTTTTGTCTGGTCTTCAGTCCAATATATATATAGCATTCGTAGCCTCTCCTTTCCTTGGTTGAATATTTGGACTTTCCTTGATATTTTGAATTACCTTCCTTGAATAATATGTCTCATAGTTTGAGCTAAAGGCATATGTCAATTATATTGATAGACACAAGATATTCTAGTAGCACATAAGAATATGTCAATTGAGAGAATATCGAATGCATGCACGGTCTCAAGGCAATATGGAAAGCAAAGAATATCTCTTCCCATTATAGCAAGAAGCAATCGGTTCAAACTAGGTAAGCAATATTCTATTCAAAAATATTTATTAAAATATTCAATCATGGATGTAGATAAATTCGTATAATAGGAGATGCAATCAAATCATATGCTACCAAAAATATTCCTTTTAATGTATTTAGAAAGAGGACCACCAATAGCAAGATTACTTTCCATAGTAAGAGCAACGAAACATGGCAGCAAATACTATTTATCATATTTGAATTTATTTAAATCATGTAAAGAAGCTTTCCAAAGTACTTTACTCAAATCATGCAACGACCTTAATTTAGCAAGCCAATATTACCTTCTATAAAGTATAAAGGCATAATCATTTATGAAAAGATATTTAAATTATACCACTTTCATGCAAAACAGTCTAGATACGTTATGCACGTTAAATGTTAAATTGTGCAATCACATATTAATTCATTTAATCATTATGCACGTTAAATGTTCACTCAGAACCAATGTTTGAAATTGCGCAATAGAATCGCGCATTGAGGCGCGCCTCGTTGATTTCCAGGCTCTTTGCGATTAAAGGCGAAACTTTTTTACGCCATAAAAAAACTTACGCCTTTTAGACTAAGGCGGCCGATATATGGCGTGCTATTCAAAGCGCAAGAAGGCTTACGCAATAATAGGCCTCTAGATTAAATGAAAAGGATGAGCCCTGACGTATTTCAAACTCAATATTTAATTTAATACTCGACCAAAATACTTCTTTTCCTCTGATGAACTTGTGGCAGTCCGTCACTTCCTCTCTGCTGAGTATTAATTTTTTTACACCATCTCTTTTGTAAGCTTTGTGCCTGTCCGCCTATCCTTCTTTTTGCTCTGTGCTGTTCTTATTTGTGTGTTTTTGTCCCTCAGTGTGCGTGTGCATGTTTAAGTAGGGAGACGAGATTTATACACAATAGTATTTTACTTTGAGTCGGTTCCAAAGTAACCTTCTGGAATTCTGAGTATGTGATATGCTGCAGGTAATATCATTTTGAGTGGATTGCAGCTGGATTCCATTTTTTTTTAGTTTGATGCAGAGTACTTGTTTAGGCTTGTAATTAATAAATTACTTGTTGCCATGAACTTTACTATGTTTTCAATGTTTCTGGCAATGTTTTTGATTATTTATATTCCAAGAATTTCCTAATTCGTAGTGAAGTTTTACTTTTCGTAATATTTGAATTTTTGTTTCAAGTATAATCGTATATAGTCTTTAATTTGGATTAGATTAATATATCAAATAATGTATAAATATTACCATTAGCAATTCTCTTTTGCATTCATCAATAAAAAACTTAGAATCTTAGAATAAATATTTGTATGATGCCATTTTCTACCAAGATTTCCATAATTTTATGATATTATTGTTAGTTTGGTAATTAAGTGTGTTACTTTGATTTTTTTTTATTTCTTAATGATTATAAATTTTTATATAAAAAAATTCCTACGCATTAAGATTTACGCCTTAGATAACACATTATTATGTTATTAATATTAATTAATATTAATTCAATGGATAAATAGAGTTTTAGTTTTAAATATATACTCTCTCCTTATATAATTGTTTGCTACACTTTCCTTTTTGTGTAACACTTTCGTGAAGCATACAAGTAACAAGACTCCCATAAATCATATGAATTGTAAAACCTTACAATACCCAAGAGGTGGAGGAGGTGCCCACCTCCTGATGTGTGAAATGTGGCTGGATGCTAAGGATTGAGAACACCTGTTTTAATGTGCTGCGTCTAGGTTAGCCATTGGGATTTGTTATCACCTTGCGCCTAGATGTTCCCTAGGTGCACTTTTTTAAACTAATGGATGGAACAATACATTATGGATCTTACACTCCTCCTTATCATCCTTGTCAGGGGCGGCTATATGGGGAGTTACCCAAGGCAAATGCCTTGGGCCTCATATTTTAGTGGGGCCTCAAAAAAATTATTAATAGTATAAAATGTCTATTTTCATTTTAATGGTTTGGAAGCAAATATATCTATTGGTAGTGCAAAGATAGATAAAGTGATTTTAGCTCTAATTAATTGGCAGGCTCATAGCCACTAGCTAGCCACCATATAAATTGAAGTAATGTTTAATTAGTTGGATCACTTGGATGGACACAATTATTTAGTTATTTTTATTTTCACTGATTATTGTTGTATTTGTGATTTGTTAACTGCTTTATGTTTTATTTTTTGTAAATATGTTACTGGGGCAAACAAAAATCAAGAACTGTAGGGATTTAAAATTTAGAAGTACTACTAAGATTCTCTCATATCAACTTTAGTAAAGTTTGTGTGACTTTAAATCAATTTGACTTTATTCTTACTTTATCAATTCAATATCAACCACATACAACATTTTTATTGGTTTGCGTGTTACTCCCTCTTGTCCCATTGTTAGTGGGACGGAGGGAGTAGTTTAAGAAATAATTTGGGAAAGTATATAATATATATAATGGAGTAATGGATTAGAAGTGTGTTGTTATGAGAGTATTAATTTTAATATGTGATGGTTATATTCTTAGCCGACCTCAAAATCTTTTGGAAATAAGGCTTGTATGTTGTTGTTGTTGATGGCTATATTGTCATAAAAGAGTTAACTATATTCTAAAATTAAAATGAGAATGAGAAATTTTTAAAAGGACGTCCAAAAGAGACAAATGATAATGTTTACCCGGGGCAGAGGAAGTGTAAGTTTTGGTCCATTTTGCGTATGTTTACATTTAAAATTTTTATTATTTTGATGTTCACTACTTTTTGAATATGCATTTTTTTCACATTTTGTATTTTTATTCAATTAATCTTTTTTTTTGTCTTTTGTGCTATAAAAATCACATTAATATGATATGTCAATATTAAGTGTTTTTCGTCTGGGGCCTCCAGAGTTCTGAAGACGCCTCTGATCCTTGTGGTATATCATGGATCTTACAATCCTCCTTATCATCCCTAGGTGCGCTTTTTTAAACCAATGGTATATTTATCACCATAAGGATTTGCAACAGAAACTGAACTTAAGAAATTTGGGCACTGGCTGCAGGCCTGCAGCCAGTGCAACTTATAAGTACCATTTGTTGCTTTGTTACTACCATATATTCACTACAGCAAAATGCTTGCCTGAAGTTTCCTATTTGTAAAGTTTTTCTCACTTCTCACAGTTCTGATAGAAGCAGGAGTAAAGGGGATGATGACAGAAGTGCTATTAAGTTCTATGACCACATGTACCAAAGGAGAAAAAAAAGACATAGCTAAAGAACTAATTGAGCTGGCCAGTTAGTTAGTTAGCGGGTACCAACTGTTTGGGGAGGAAAAATTTGTAAATAAATAGTAACAGGGAGTAATAGTAAGGCAGACTGTTTGACAGTTAGAAATTGGGTCCTGGAGAGCCTGGCACTCTTGAAATTGCCTAGACTGTTCTCTGTAATTCTCTGCTTGTGAATATTAAATAAAACTTCCAGTTTCTTTGATTTCTTGTGTAAGAAATCTGTAGATTTCCGTTGCCTAACAAGTATTTGGATTGTAATTTGCTGGTCTGGTCTAGTAAAAGTCTGGTCTCTCTGTATTTTATAACCACAGAAGTCAAGTCTGTTCAAGTCTGTTCAAGTCTGGTTTGGTTTGTTTTAAGTCTGTTCTGGTCTGGGTGTGGGACTGAAAACAGACCAAGCAAAAACATCCATACTCCATATTTGTTTCCTTTTTAGTGCCTGTAATATGTCTGTAACTCTATATTTCCCAAATTAGGGTAGAAACCAACTCACACATTGAGTTCTCCTTTAATGAACTCGTTTTAGCTCAATAAATTATATTTGACTTAATCCGCCTCAAAACAAAGCAGTCCCGGTAATAATGATATCAGGACGGTGGAAGTATTTTTGTGATTTGTTTTCAATTGTGTTTTCGATATTGTTCCCTCTTAATTTGATTTACTTTTGTTTTTCTGCTCTATATTATTCATATGCTGTTTGGACTTTGTTTTCATTATCATCTTTGTGCGTTATATTATTTTAGATAATTGGAGTGTAAAAGCAATCCGCAGAAAGACTACTGGAACTGGCCGCATGAGGTATCTCCGCAATGTGCCCCGCAGATTCAAGTCCAACTTCAGAGAAGGTAAAAACCCAAATTCGCTTTTAGAACTTTAGCTACACCTGGTACGACATAATGCAATGAGTTGCAATGGAATCAAAATTGTAATGCAATGGAATTAAATGTGATTCAGTGCTATGTTTTGTTAAATGAGTAACATAATGAAACTTTCAACTGTTGGTGCCGCTACAACCACCCCATTATTCAACTTTTTGATTTTTTTTTTAATTCATCTTAAAAATTCAGATCTTTTCTCTTTATATTTTTATCATACATATTGTTTTATGTTTCTTAGAACAATAAAAACTGTCTCATGGGTCTCTACTCTTCTTTGTTATGTAAATGGGCACTTTGTTACTTTATTAGTAGTGACGCTATCTAAAAAACATGCTCCCTCCGTTCTTGTTTTTTAAAGAATACTCCCTCCGTTCTTCTTTTGAAAGAATACTCCCTCTGTTCTACGATCTTGGTCAATTTTTTTTTTATTTAGGCCTCCCAAAATACTTATTATGCGTTTAAGTTATTTCTCACATTTGTATAAATTTCAAATTACACAGCTTTTAACTTTATTATTCCATGTGCATTTGGAGAGGATGTAAAATGTCTAAAGATAAAATGTCCTGCCAAACATACTCTTTAAATCTAGATGTAATACTCATGACATTAAGAAGTTGATTGAGTCATACCAAACAAGGCATTCAATTTTGGTGTTGATATTTTGTCATCAATTTGTTTGTTTATGTTGTCTGCTTGTGTGCGTTTTAGGAACGGTGGCAACTCCAAGGAACAAGGGAGCTGCAGTAGCCTCTTAAATTTCATCTTTGCTTGTAAGCCATTTGTCGTGCCACCAAGGAACAAGGGAGCTGCAGTAGCCTCTTAAATTTCATCTTTGCTTGTAAGCCATTTGTCTGTCAACAGGGAGTGACTTGTTTGCACGTAGATTCTGTACTCTCTTATTCAAGCAATACAAATATTGACTTTGAACTTTTATGATCCCCTAACATAAGGGCGGTAGGTGGCAAAAAAAAAGACGTTAAAAATTTGAGCAACTGCATTGAAACTTTTAATCAATTTTATGGAAAAAGGGTCAAATACACCCACATACTATATCAAATGAATCACTTCAGCCCATCTACTTTAAAAAGCATCAAATAAATACATTTACTAATTAAAAAACATCATTTGAACCCACTTACCGGATGACAACCCTTTGCTCTAGGTCACAGGCTGATTTGACATACCTTTGTCCCCTTTTAATTACCTTTTTCATTTTCTTTTCCTACCTCTATGAGTCTATGTGTATTGTACGTAGTACTTACTATACTCCAAATTTTGTATGTTTCGTATAAGTAGTATTTCCCAACTTTCCGACTTACTGGGATTCTTTCTTTTACTCGCTCCGTTTCTTTTTTATTGGTCCTTCTTTCTTTTTTGGGACGTTTTTTTTTATTTGTCCTCCTTTCTTTTTAAGGAAAGTTTTTGAAAAAATACCCCCATTTTTATTACTTATACCCCACTTACTTTTTACAAACTACTTTCTCTTTCCTACTTTACCATCACTTTACTCTTCTTGATACACTCTCTTTCCTACTTTATCTTCACTTTACTCTTTTTAATATACCATCTTTCCTACTTTACCATTTACCATACACACTCTATACTTACCCTACTACTTTATTATTAAAACCCGTGCCAAACCCTAAGAGGACTAATAAAAAGAACGGATCGGAGGGAGTAGTTTTTTTCCTTTTCTTTCTCTCTTTGTCTTATCTTTTGATTTATGCTCTTCTGATCTTCTTCCTCTTTGAATCAAAGAATACGGATCATATTTTAGAAGCTCTAAAATCATTTTTCCATTTTTCTAATTTCTATATTTCCTTTTTAGGAATATGAATAAATTATACACTTTTTGCATACATGCTCAAAATTCCTAGCTTATACCCACTGTTTTTGTACTTAAATTTAGGATATATACAAAAAAACGTCAAACGTAAAACCCGGATTTTAAAGATGGAAAACGTCTGGCAAATAAAAAAAAAATCAAATAATGCTACTCCGTAAAATGATGTACAACTTTTGAGCCTGTTTGATTGTTTACACATTAAAACTTTACATGTAAAATGATTGCACGTAAAGTTTAGTGTGGTGAAATAGTTTGCATGTAAAATAGAAATATATCGTTTGGTCATGATGTAATCTCTTTTTAAATTACACACAAACTTTTGAAAACATATAAATCCGAAATTGACTTCTTTCCAAGGCAGGGAAACATGTGCTCATCTAATACGGCTTGTAGTATAATGGCACTAGTTAATTTTAATATATTTGCATTATTTTATTTCTTTGGGACATAAATGCTTAGGTTTTTGTTTCCTAGTTGATTTCAATTCTATTATTTTACCAAGGACTCTGCTTGTATTTAACCGGGTTATATGGATGATCGAAGACAAAACATTATACTTCGTATATTAGATGAGAGCGATGTTCTTGATGACTTGTTGAAGGTAATTGCCTACCATCTTTTTGCTGTGGTTCGCTGGTGTACCAACCACCAAATCTTCAATATTAAATGCACTTCCCGCCAGAATCTAGGTTTCCCGCCTAATTAGTGGGGACGTTCGTCCACCCGGGGAGCGAGCTGGATCGCTCCAAGTGGCCCTCAAGAGGTATCGGCTTTTCGGACTGTTTTAAATATATTTTATTTTATCGGGTCAAAAAAATATATTATGTGTCCTCAATCGTTATGACCCTCATAGTGAATATACATTCCCCAACTTTAGTTTATAAGTTCCCGAAATTCATTTCTGGCTTTTATCTGTTAAATTACCAGTACCGGTATTTTGGCCCTTTTGATCAACCGGTCAACTCTATATTATTTCTTTGGACCAAATAAATTATCCACCACTATATAAATATTATATTGACCAAGATGAATAAAATATACGGTCTCGGGAATATCGGGCGGCCCCCGCTCCCGGTGCGGGCCCCACGTGCGAATTTACTATTCACGCAAAAACATTAATGAAAAATTCACAACTTCGAATACTCGTTAACCATTCCATAAGTTCAATACATTATTTACTTAAAAGTAAATACTTTTTGGGGGCGGTGTTACAGTTTTTCGGCTTATCAGGCTTATCAGTCAACTTTTTCACCAAACACGTAACTTTTGCTTTCGCGTGCTGAATTGTGTAATAAGCTAAAAAAGCAAGGTTAAAGTTACTTTTCTGGCTGTATTGGCTGAAGTTACTGTGGATGACCATTTTAGCTATTTTTACATATAATTTTTTCTTTATTTTATTAATAACATACGTAGTATATTTTAAAAATAATTTTTTCCTTAATCAACAGAATCAGCCAATGCAGCCACTTCAGTCAGAACATCATAAATTTCAGCAGAATCAGCCAAACCAATCGATTTTCATGCTATCAAACGGGCTCTTAATGTATCAATTTCCCCTAGAACACTAGTAACTAAAGTCTATAAATACTTCATGTATATCTCCTATCAAAGGACCGAATTCCGGATTAATAATGACGCTTTACGCTGCTCAAATTTCATTTGCTCTCGTATATATAGCTCTTATAGTTGGATTAAACTCCATCACCTTCGTTTTTAAATAAGTGCAATATGTTGAATTTTACACTATTCACATGTTCTATTTTCATTAAAAAAATAAAAAAAATCGTGTTTAAATTTGTCCCACTGTAAATTTTCAAAATATTATTTTCAATTTAAAAAAAAATATTAATGGTCACAATTGTGCATCGACAATTTTGAAAAATGTACTGTTGCACTTATTTAAGATCAGATGTCATATATTGTATGAAAAGTCATAAAAATAGAAAAATAATTTTAGATCATTTTCCCAAATTTCTTAAATTTAAATAAGAGAAGCAAAGTAAAAATAACGGGTTTTTTTTACATTGTGTGAAATTGTGAATCTACTCTAGTGGAGGACAAAAAAGTAAAAAGAATGAAAATAAAAAGCAAGAAAGTTTCATCAAAAAAAAAAGCAAGAAAGTAAAAGAACGGAGGAGAGAAAGCTGTCACGAGGTAGAGAACTACTGTACGGAGTAGTTATTCGTATATACGGTACTACGTACTTTGTATGGGACACTGTATATGACACGTAAGAACACAAAATAGAGAAAGTAAATAAGAAATGAGAAAAATATGTCACGTCAACCAATAACTTGCTATTGGGGGTTGTCATCCGGTCACTTGACCAAATTGATTGTTTTTTAGTAGTAAGTGCATCTATTTGATGCTTTTTAAAGTAGATGGGTTGAAGTGATTCATTTGATATAGTAGATGGGTGTATCTGACCCTTTTTCCTAATTTTATATATGAAGTAGACATAAATATTAATTTTTTATATTTATGTGTTGAGTATTTCTGTATTTTATCATAGGCACTGTTTATGTTTTGGGGTCGCAAATTTCTGTTCGCATCCTTCCATTAAAGGATCTTTTTTTGGTTCCACAACCTAAGTTCGACAAAATTAGAAATGGCTCGTACAACTGTGTAATCTTTACCTCATGAGTGTCAAGACTGTCAACTTTGGGATATTTCGGAGACTTTCTCTATTCAGTCATGTTACTTACGTGACATGACTTAGGGACAGAGCAAAGACAACATATCTTACTGCTACGGGTGCCTACTCAATAAATGATTCTTTTCTAGTAAGAAAAGAATCATTTAAAGAATCGTAGTCTTTCTCTACGAGACATTAATGGGAGACTAGTTGCTAAGGTGCCGATGACTAGACACCGGATGTTCTTTCTTGATATTCAAAGAGATCAAGCCATATGCATGAAAAGTTGTTTGAAAGACGAGTCATGGATTTGGCACTTAAGATACAGGCACTTGAACTTTGGTGGCTTGAAAATGTTATCGTCCAAAGGCATGGTGAAAGGTTTGCTCTTCACCAATCATCCTGATCAGCTATGCAAAGGATGCCTACTTGGGAAGCAATCAAGGAAACCATTCCCTAAAGAAGTTACCTCAAGAGCTAAGGAGTCATTGGAGTTAATCCATACCGACTTATGTGGTCCTATTACTCCATGTTCTCATGGTAAAAGTAAGTACTTTCTCACTTTCATCGATGATTACTAAAGAAAAACATGGGTATATTTTCTGAAACAAAAATCAGAGGCCTTTGTAGCATTCAAGAAATTTAAGGCTCTTATTGAGAAAGAAAGTGGGTATGATATTAAAGCCATGAGATCAGATCGAGGTGGAGAGTTCACATCAAAAGAGTTTAATCAATTTTGTGAAGATAATGACATCCGTCGTCCCATGACTGACTGTCCCACGCACACCACAACAAAATGGTGTTGCCGAAAGAAAGAATAGGACTATCCTCAACATGGCCCGAAGCATGCTAAAGACGAAGAATATGCCTAAAGAATTTTGGGCTGAAGCTGTGGATTGTGTTGTCTATCTTCAAAATCGCTGCCCCACGAAGAGTCTAGTTGGAATAACTCCACAAGAAGCGTGATATGGAGGTAAACCCGGAGTCTCGCACTTGAGAGTATTTGGATGCATTGCATATGCTCATGTTCCTGATCAGACTAGATCAAAACTCGATGACAAGAGCGAGAAGTTCATATTCATTGGATATGACAAACACTCAAAAGGGTACAAACTCTACAATCTGGATTTGAAGAAGCTATAATAAGTCGTGATGTGGAGTTTTATGAAGAAGGCTCATGGAGTTGGAGCATTGGCGACAAAGAAGATTATAGCCTCTTACCATCCATGGAATATGAAGAAGAAGTTGAAGAGAATCATGAAAATATAACTCCTCCAACATCTCCCACTCAAGCTCAATCTTCGCCACCAAGTTCGGATGAAAGAGAAGTACCACACATGAGAAGCATTGAAGTGCTTTACGAGGTAACACAAAACCTGAACTCAAATGATGAACTTACACTCTTTTGTCTATTTGGTGATTGCGAGCCACTAAGTTTTGAAGAAGCCACAAGATGCAATGGATGATGAGATTAAGTCCATTGTGAAGAACAAAACATGGGAGCTAGCCACACTTCCATCAAATCATAAAGCAATTGGAGTGAAGTGGGTATTTAAGATCAAGAAAAATGCAAAAGGGGAGGTTGAGAAGTACAAGGCAAGACTAGTAGCCAAAGGCTACGCCCAAATACATGGCGTTGATTATGAAGAAGCTTTTGCGCCCGTTGCTAGATTGGAAACAATAAGATTGATAATTGCACTCGCGGCTCACAACAAGTGGAAGATACATCAAATGGATGTCAAGTCCGCATTCTTAAATGGGTTCCTAAAAGAAGAAGTCTACATTGAGCAACCCGAAGTTTACAAAGTCAAAGGGCAAGAAGATAAAGTGTTGAGGCTAAGAAATGCTCTTTATGGGCTTAAACAAGCACCAAGAGCTTGGAATAGTAGAAATGACCAGTACTTCCAAGCTAATGGATTCGTGAAGTGTCTACAAGAAAATGCACTATATGTAAAGAAAAATCATCAAGGAGACATATTGCTCGTGTGCATATACGTGGACGATCTCATCTTTACAGGTAATAATATGACGATGTTCGATGAGTTTAAAAAAGTCATGACAAGGGAGTTCGAGATGACTGACATTGGGCTTATGAGTTACTATCTTGGCATCGAGGTGAAGCAAATGGATGATGGTATATTCATCACTCAAGAAGGATACGCGAGAGAAGTACTCAAGAAGTTCGACATGGAGGACTCCAAACCTGTAAGTACACCTGTTGAAAGTGGACTAAAGCTATCGAGGTATGATAAAGAAAAATTGATTGATCCAACTTACTTTAAGTGTCTTGTGGGGAGCTTAAGATAATTAACATGTACAAGACCGGCTATTCTCTTTGGTATTGGACTTGTTAGTCGATTCATGGAGGCCCCTACAACAACTCATTTGAAGGCGGCAAAAAGGATTTTGCGATATCTCAAAGGCACCGCCGAATATGGGTTGTTTTACTCTTCATCTGATGAGTTTAAGCTGGTTGGATATTGCGATAGTGATTGGGGTAAAGATATCGATGACCGCAAGAGCACAACTGGGTTCGTGTTTTACCTGGGAAACAACGCTTTCACATGGGTTTCAAAGAAGCAACCGATAGTCACTTTGTTCACTTGTAAAGCCGAGTACGTTGCAGCAACATCAAGTGTTTGTCATGCAATTTGGCTCAGGTACATATTGCAAGCTCTCAGCATGTCTCACGAAGAAGCAACAACAATATTTGTGGACAACAAGTCAGCTATCACATTAGCAAAGAATCCAGTGTTTCATGATCGAAGTAAGCACATAGACACTCGATATCATTTCATCTAGGGAAAGATAGCGAAGAAGAAAGTTCAAGTAGAGTATGTGAAGACTCAAGACCAAGTCGCTGATATTCTCACAAAGCCACTCAAGCATGATGTCTTTGCAAAGATGCGGGATCTACTCGGTGTTGCTAAGTGAAGTTTAAGAGGGGATGTTAGAAATTAAACTTGGCTTAGCCTAATAATTGGGTCCATTACAAGTTAACTTATTGGGCTAGTTGTTGTATGAAAGGTCTAGAGTACTCTTCACAGTTAATGTACTTATTAAATGATTCTAGAATATTCCTAAGCTAGAATTCTATAGAATATTGTAGAATTTTAAGGAAATATGAGTGCCTAGAAGGATCCTATGAGACCTATAAATAGAGCACTCCTGATTCATTTGTAACACAAGTCAAAAGCTCCAAATCAATAAAAGTTTCAAGTTCTCCCATAATCATCTCTCTCTAAAAATCCTCTCTTCCATACACAATCACCCAAATATAATACTCATAAACTACTTTCTTCCAACAAACCTCATCACAGCGGGGATTTTTTGTCCTTTATTTTTGGAAGAAATGGTTTAGCTAATGATGAGGTCAATCTGATGGTGAGGTTATAAAAAATTAATACATACAAGGCACATACGTAAACTTACATGCTCTTATATAAAAAAATCATGTAAACTTTAGAGATAGGAATGAAATCATCACTCGGAACTAGCTAACGAAGATATCAATCGAATACACATATTAGATCTATAACTAATTTAATCGAATACACATATTACACCTAACTAATTCAATCGATAGCTAGCAATGATCCGATGAGAATAGCCGAAGCTTACAACCCGACGGAATCCGCTCTTTTAGGACTGTTCACATGTCTTGGAGAAATATCGAACACAAAAAAATGCAGAAAAACAGAGATATTGATATAAAATGAATTACCTGATGATCAGTTTGAGAACAGTGTGGAATTTGGAAAGCTGCTCGAAGGAGAAGGGATGATGATGTTGAAAACGTTTGCCGATGCAAGTAGGCGGGAGGCATCTGGGATCTAGTTTGCTTTTGGGTTCAAGAGGCCTAGCGTACGTAGACTTTTTAGATTATTTGATTTGCTTTTGGGTTTAAGAGGACTGGTGTGTAGTTTTGTTTTATTATAATTGAAGTGGCGTCAACTTTTTGGAGGAACTCCAAGATACAAAAAATTTGTTCCAAAATCTGGAACTATTATCTACAAAAAAAATCACAAGAAATATTCATAGCTATTTTCGAGTTTTTTAGTAGTGGGTTGATTAGGCGTTCTAGGCGGGCAACTAGACGTCATAGGTGGCCGACTAATCACCTAGATGACAAATCAATTAGTCGGAGCGTCTAAACGAAAATTGGGGCGCCCGGCCACCGCCTAACGCCTAGATGAAAATCGGGGCGCCCGGCCACCGCCTAGTGCCTAGGCGGGGACTAGTCGGACGCCTAGAACAATTTTTAGAACATAGACTAAAACAACTACAAAATTCTTCTCCAGATTTAAGCTAATTTAAGGGTAAAAAAAAAGGAACATGTACTACGTATATCTTAATATAATTGAAGTATCAATTAATGGAAGAAAATATTTTTATCGATCAAGTTTAATTTTAATCATTGGTTTACCTAACCAAGGAAAAATACAAGAGTTAACATTATTGATAGTTTGAATTTTTACATTCTCCTCATCTTATATTATAATAAAGTTAATTTATTCGATCAATAACACCTACAATACAAAGACTTGGTAGAGATGGGTAGGAAGCCTTGGTTCAATGAGGTAAGAAAGTGGGAATTTAGGGTGAGTACTCAATCCATAAGCCTCCTCCATCGAGACATCTCCTGGCTTCATATCTCCAGGCAATTTCCAACTAAACCCATGCAACAAATTTGCCAACGTTGCCTGCACAACCTTTAATCCCAGGTTGTAGCCGGGGCACATTCTCCTGCCTGATCCAAATGGCAACAATGAAAAATCTTTTCCTTTTATGTCAATATCACTCCCCAAAAACCTCTCTGGTAAGAACTGCCCAGCTCTCTCCCAATACTTTGGGTTCCTACCAATAGACCAAACATTAACCACAACAAGTGTCCCTTTTGTTACCTCGTAACCGTCGAGGTTGCAATCTTCCATGGAATAATGTGGAAGCAGTGTGCCTAGTGGATGCAACCTGAATGTTTCCTTGATGATGGAGTCAATGTATGGCAAGTGTGAAATGTCATTTTCTTCCACCCATCTCTCCCTTCCAATAACTCTGTCTAGCTCTTCTGTTGCCTTTTCCATTATATTTGGTTTCCTAACCATTTCGTGAAAGGCCCATTCCACTAATCCCGTTGATGTATCTGTTCCGCCAGCAACAACATCCTACTCAATGCGTGCAATAAGAAAAATTGTAGTTAAAATTGAGCATTGATTCATTATAATATAAGCTTAACGGAGGAGTAGTTTGAAATTTTAAATGATGGTCCGAAACATGTGCCGTTTGAACATTATATTTTCTGAAGCACGCGCGTGCCTTTCAAGTCTCAACTCTCAACACTTGTATTTGAATCTCCATGTCATAAACTAGTATGCAGTTATGCACAGGAAGCAATTCACAAATTATACCAAGTACATGTGTATGTGTGAGTTTATATATATAGTTTAATTAATAATTAACTTCCATTCAGATTTTGGCACTTGTTTATTGAGTCGTTATTCAAGTCGATCCTAAGATCTTCTTTAAAACGATTTTATTCTGATAGAAGAATAAAATTAACGCAAATATATAAGACTCTTATATTATAGGGGCGGCCCTGTATATTTGAAGGTCTAGGAGCGAATAATTCAAAATGGGCCTAAATTTTAAAAAAATTGTAAAAGCTGTTTCTTTTTAAATTACATGCAAAATAATAATATTTGAAGTGTATTTTTATTTATTTTCATGTTTCTAGTATAGTATGCATTTGAGAAATGTCTACATTTAGCAATAAGAGGATAATTAAGTTGCGTCTCTTTTATAGGGCCTTTTTCAATTACAATATCATTTGTTTTGGCATCTAGATATCCAAAATCAAATGACCAACAATTGAAGTTGATACATTTGATCTATCCAATTCATTTTTTGGTTGCTCACTATCAATGTTATCAACTCCTAAATTCTGACCTCTTACGACATGATCATTGTTAACTGTTTCATTTTCGGTTGTTGAATCATTCTTCTCCTTAAAGTTCTTGGGAGGACCTTCTGAATTTGTCTTCTTCGTAAAAATAAACTTTTCTATTGAACCTTTTTTACTTACGGCAGCATTATCTAATCTTCTCTTCTTCATTTTTTTCCGCCATCCTTATTCCCTCATTTTTATGAAACTTTGAAATTAAATAATTTTATGGTTTAATTATAATTGAAAATTGAAAATTTTTACCTAACAAAATGAGTACATTATGACACCAACAATCAATAGGTAATAATCAACAATTAATTGATTAGCATGTACTCCATAATAATTAAACTAATTAAAAATCAACTATTCATAATTATTTATAAACATTAAACAACTATGAATTCAATCAATTTATCAATTAAAAAGCAGGTCACATATCCACATGTTTGTATTATTCAAATAAATTAATAAAAGAAAATGGTAATTGTTAAAAATTGATCACATAATCAATAAAGAAAATGTTAAAAACTACTACGTATAATTTTGCAAGTGGAAAACAATGGTAATGGCTTATGGCCAAACATCCGAAGCAGAAGGTCGGAACTCAGAAGGTCAGAAGGTACACCTAATGACTTGCGTGACTTTACAGTTGTGGGAGTGAACAGGGGCGGAACCAGAAAAATGAGTGAGGGGGGTCGCAATTTAATTATGTACAGTATCAAAATAATGGATAGTTATTATACAATATTTGAGTCAAATGTTTCATATGTAGTTCAGATAAATGATAGTTTAATGAGCATTTTTCGGTTAATATATTGAGATATATGTAATATATCATAATGTTCACACAGCTAATGACTGAATAAGGTGTTTTAATTTTTAAATTTAAGAATATAATCAACGTCATACATCAAATTTTTGCTTATTTTTCAAGTGATGATGATGCTGATTTTTCTAGAAGTCATAACTTTTTACTCGTAATGAGTTACGAGACCCATAATATATCAAATCGAAGGTATTTCAGAGCTTTATAAAGCAATTGAAATACAATCACTCTGAAACTGATCACCGATTCTTGAGCAATTGAAATAGCACATTGAGAAGTATTATTGCATGCACACATTGTGAACTTAAACTTCTCGGTGTTAAGGGGGTGATTTATTAAGAATTTGTCCACAAATCTGTTAAAAAGTGTACTTAATTTTTCTACTAGGGTGGTAGCCATGTAAAAATTATATTTTATATGGCTTTGTTAATTCTTAAATAGTAATACTATTTCTAGCTAGTTGTAAATTTTAGATTGTTAATTCTAACTTACTAAAGTTACTAATTAAGTTGCAGCACTGACACTTCTATAAATTAGGATAAATTATACTCCGTATTGTTTATTAATTATATCTAAACATAATCTAAATAGGGCTTGATGAATAAATTATAAATCTGCACATTAACCTTTAAAAACCTTAACACCTAAATCTGCACAATAACTTTTGAACACTTTAACACCTAATTTTACATATTGTAACGCCGCTAGCTTCAATTCTTCATCAGTCTAGCCATAAGCCCATAACAGATATTTCTTTATTGCGATGCCTGCCTAATTGTTCTATTTTTAGGCTTTAGAATTCCCTATTTACAAAAACTGAAATGTATACAGAGTACACCGCTGCATTGGGTTATTTTATTTGGGTTGACTGGAATTGGGTGGGCGGGTATTGGGGGCATTTAATTTTTTTAATTGGGGGCAAATTGCTAGACTGAATTTTTTCCTAATATATTCTAGGTAATTATTAGCACTTTATTGGGGGCAGCTGCCCCCTATGGCAGCTGTAAATCCACCCCTAAGTCTATTAGCATGTTACCTGTCATGTTAGTAGGTCACTCACTGACGTGGCGCATATGTGGCTATCCACGTGTGTGCCACGTCATCCGGAATCGGCTGTTTGAGATTCCACGAGTGCACTATGTGGTAGCTTAGGCTATTCAGCAGTGATTTTGCTGACATGGTTGTCAATAAGATATTTTCACATTAGACGCCTATATGATTCCAATAATTTATTATTTATATATACATATATAAAAATATAAATATACACAATATATATAGTAGCATTCAAATCAAGTCAGCCTAACGAGGATAATATTTATATATTGACCGAAAATGATGTTTGATGGAACGTAGATAATTAAAATGAAAGACTATTTAGTCTGTCATGTTAGCAGGTCACTCGCTGACATGGCGCATATGTGACTATCCACATGTGTGCCACATCATCCGGAATCGGCTGTCCGAGATTCCACGTTTGCACCATGTGGTAGTTTAGGCTATTCAGCAGTGACTTTACTAACATGGTGGTCAATAAGATATTTTCACATTAGACGCCTATATGATTCTAATAATATATTATTTATAGAAAAAATTGCGTACGTATTACAATTAGACTATTGAATTCTAAAAATATAACCTTATCTCTATTTTCTAAAAATATGACAAATCTGGAGAGAGCCCATCAGCCCAACGCATCACCTTCGCATGGATCCCAGCGCATACCTCGACGTCCATTCCGATTTCCAGCGCAGATGGCCATCTGCTTCGCATCATCTGCTCGGAAGGAGAGCTCAGTCGACCGCGGCTTGCATCACCGTCGGCCATCTCCTTCGCCGCCGCTCTCCTGCCGTCGCCGCCCTCCCCGCCGCAACTCTCTTCTTCTACTCATTTCTTCTCCACCACTATTGCTACAACTGAAATCGAAGATCTAGGCGTCATCCTCAATGGCTGCACCTCCACTGGGCAGCCATAGTTCATCGGCGCTCCAGATACGCTCCTCTCAGTGATTTCGTCTTCTATTTTTAGATCTGAGGTGAAAGCTGCGGTTAGGGTTACGCCGGTGGTGAACGACGGCTATTGTTACAATAGTGGTGATGGGCAGGGTTGAGATCTGTTGGTTGGGGCTAAAATTTGTTGGTTGGGGAAGATATGTGCCGGTGGTGATGGGTTGGGGGTTGGGGGAGTGACGGATTGGGGATAGATGTTGGTGGGTGATGGTGTTATACGGCAGTGATGAGCTCGCAGGTTAGGAGAGGCCGGAGGGACAAAGGTAATGGGCAGTCTATAGAGACTGTAGTTGGCGGTGCCGGTTGGGTGGCCGCCGGAAAATTATTCGGTGTAATGTAGGGCAGCAGTCACTGGCCGGGGCAGTGGCAGTCATTGGCTGGGGGCGGCGGCAGTCACTGCAACGGCGAGTCACTGTGGCGGCGAGTCACTGTGGTGGCGAGTCACTGTGGCGGCGAGTCACTGTGGCGGCGAATCACTGTGGCGGCGGAGTCACTGTGGTGGCGGAGTCACTGTGACCGGAGTCACTTTGGCGGGAGTCACTTTCGTCGGAGTCACTGAGACAGTGACTGGTGGCGGCGGCGGTGCCGGCGGCAGCGGTGGTGCTGGGGTCGCGGTCCGGGGTGCTGGTGGCTACAAATGTATAAAAGGAATTTAAAAAAATATATATATATAATTAAATGTAAGGAATAAATGACTTTTAGTCACATTTTTGGAAAAATTTAAAACAAGTCACTTTTTTATCTTTTTCATTCATTTTAGTAATATTGGAATAAAAAGGCCTTATTTATATATACACATGTTAAAATATAAATATACACAATCTTTGTCACTGTTAATGAAGTATTATTAAATATATCAATAATTATAATCAATGATTAAGTTCAAATCTAATTAATGTTGTAAGTTGTGAATAATCAAAACATTAGCAAATTGAGCATAAAGACATTGAATATAAATAAGAATATTAGAAACATACACATGCATAATTAATTAAGAGACATAACATATATATATATATGTATATATATATATATAGGGTAGAGATCACGTAAAAACACCCTCTAACATAAAAACTAGGAAGGAATCGTAGCCATAGATATGAAGCAATCGTACGGTAAACATAAAATTTGCTTCGGTGTTATGATGCACTGAATGTTAGCAGATAATTTCCTTGATTACAAAATTAAGAAGAGGCGCACTACGGAGGGTCTAATAGTCTTTTGATTTTCTTACTAATTTTAAAATAACGTGTTAAGCTCTAATCATTAATGCACCGATAGTCCCTCTTTCCCCTCCCCAAGTAACTGTCACTAGCTAAAGTAGGAAAGTGCAGTGGTTGACACTTGTCTATAAATATGGTTTATGGGTGGATAGTAAGATCCATA